CCTGGAAAGGACTTAAGAAAAGACTGAGATGGTCCTTGAATAAATCAATATTGAAAAAAAGGGGGTTTTACAATCATGTGATAAGAAATGTACTACTTTCAGAATGGGAGAAAATTAAACATAAAATATATATGAAAATACCTGAGTGGCTCTCAACAATGGAAGCATTTGCTTATCCAAATCTGATTAATTATGACAAACTGGCTAGTTATAAAGACATTTTAGACAAAGAGGGAAAACTTAAGGACAGGCAAACTTTCCAACTACAAGATATTGACTTGACATGGTGGTCCTATTTGCAAATTCAAACACGATACAAAAAAGATATAAAATCAACAGGTTTTTACAAAGAACAGACCCCATTAGATAATTTTTTGTTAAAAACAGATGAGAATTTGATTAGAAAACTTTATAAATTTCTTTTAAACTGGAAGATGGAAGAAGAACAAGTGAAAGAAACAATGATAGTATGGGCAAAGAACATTGGACGTTCTATAGATTTGGAAGACTGGCAAAAACTTTGGGATAAAAATATTAAGCTTACAAAAGCAGCAGCATATAAAGAAAATTTATATAAGATGTTTTATAGATGGCATATGACACTTAGCAAAAATGTTTAAAAATGTTTCGGATATTTGCTGGAAATGTAAACAACAGCCAGGCATTTATTACCATGCCTGGTGGATATGCCTTATCACTAAGAAATATTGGTCTAAGATACATTTTATGTGACCTCTTCTGAGTTCTGTTTAGCTTGAAATAAAGAAGTACCTATTTGTTACTCCTGCTTTGTTCAATACCTACCAATGCGAGAAACAGAACAGAGTGGTTGCAGGAACCTGGAATCACACTATTAGACCAGGTTCAGCTAGAAATTCAGGACACTGAAGTCATTTGGGGCCTGAGTGCCAGAGATTAATCTGGATCATACTCTCCATCAAAGGCGAAGGAATTCTATCCAGAACCCAAAAGCTATTCAGTTCCTACAGAGTTGATCTTTCATTCTTTGATTTTGACAAACTGATTACTACAATGTCAGGGTCAAGCCTAGAGATGACACAATAAAATCCAGTCGAGACCAATTCTACATTTGCCAACACCTAATGTGGAGAATCTTACCAAACTAAATTTACAATCTTCTAACCTTCTATATATATTATGTTAAGGCACGGGTTGGCAACCTTAAACACTTGGACCCATTTCCCAGAGAAAAGAAAACACTGGGAGCCACAAAACGTGTGTGCACGCGAGGGGGGAGCTTGATTGAATAGCTTAATTAAAAAGAAATAGAGGCTGCTGTGCATGAGTTCTCTCTCTCTCTCTCTCTCTCTCCTCTCCTTGCTCTCTCCCTCTCTCCCATGGGTTGCCGACCTGTGGACTAGTGAAACCTTGTACAGATGATCCTCAACTGACAGCAGTTTGTTTAGTGAACACTTGAGGTTCCAATGTCACTGAAAAAATGCCTTATGATCGTTTTTCACACATACAAACTTTGCAGCATCCCCTATGGTCACATGAACAAAATTCCAACACATGGAAACTGATTGATATTTATGACAATTGCAGTGTTCCCGGTGATCACCCTTTGCAATCTTCTGACAAGCAAAGTCAACGGGGTAACCTGATGCACTTAACAACCGTGTTACTAACTTAACAACTGCAATGATTCACTTAACATCTGTGGCAAGAAAGGTCATAAAATCATCATAAAAACCCAACTTTTCATTTTTGTTATTGTTATTCATGTAGATCTGTACCAAGGAAGAAGGAGCAAGATTCCTCTTACAGGCGGTTAGGGTTATTTTCTCCTTCTTGTACCATATTGGCAGAGTCAGTCAGAATAAAGCCATCAAAGAAAACTACAGCTTATCCTTAAAGACCATGATTACCTTCATAGTCCCATCACATTTTAAGATGCCATTATTTTGCCAGTGTCAAAAATGTCTACAATTACTGGTATCAATAATTACCACCCAGTTGCACTTACATCCAGCATTATGAAATATTTTGAGAAGCTGATAAAGGACATTATTGTATCTAGCCTCCCGCCAGAATTTGACTTACTTCAGTTTGCTTACCATCCAAATTGCTCTACAGAAGATATTCAAGGTGATAATGAGGGTGCTTACCGCAAAGAGGTTGAGGGTTTGGTGAACTATTATAAGAAAAACAGCCTAGTTTTAAACGTTGGAAAAATTTAAAGAGATCATTGTCAATTTCAGAAAAGGCAGGTACAACCACACTCCTCTGTGCATTAATGATTCACCTGTGGGGATGTTTAGCAGCATCAAATTTCCAGGTGTGCAGCTAATGAGTAGGCTGGCTTGGTTGCTCAACAGCAAGACACTGGGGAAGCGTGCACAGCAGTATCTGCATTTCTGTGTCACATGACAAAAGTACATCTTCCTTCCCCTGTTCTTACTACTTTCTACAGAGGGATGATCGAGAGCATCCTGTCATATTGCATTACAGTCTGGTTTGGAAGCATCACTGCTTCAGACAGGAAGGCGGTGCAGAGAGTGGTGAGGATGGTAGAAAAGATTATTGGCAGCTCACTCCCTTCTATCCAGGATATAGCATATAAATGATCTTGAGAAGGGTCCACAGAACTGTATGGGACACTACACATCCTCTTCATAACCTGTTTTCCTTGTTACCTTCTGGGAGGAGGCTTTGTGGTATCTGAAGCAGAACATCCAGTTTTGTTCCATACAATATTAACCTTGTGAACTCTCAAGCTTCCTCTTTCCGCTATGCATTCAAAATGGACAATGATTAAGATTTATATGTATTTATATGTAAGGGTGTAGGTATATACATATGTTGTATATAGTATGTTTATATCTGTGATATGTATGTGTACACTTTTGAGAGCAGGCAACAGAATTTCATTTTTAATTTGTGCCAGTGTGCCCACAGTAAAAAAAAAAATGACAATATAGAATGAGAAGATTGGCAAAAGTTATGGGAAAGAAATATTAAATTAACTAAAGCAGTGGCATATAAAGAAAACTTATATAAAATGTTTTACAGATGGCATATGACACTATTGAGATTAGCAAAAATGTTTAAAAATACTTCAAACAACTGTTAAAAATGCAAACAAAGACCAGGTACTTATTATCATATCTGGTGGACATGCCCTAAAGCAAAAAGATTTTGGGTTAAAATACATTTATGGTTGGAGAAAATGACTAAAAAACAAATAGACTTTAAACCAGAATTATTTTTGTTAGGAATAATAGGAGCTAATTATGAGAAAGATTGCAGATATTTAATACTATACATACTAACAGCAGCAAGAATTGTATTTGCCCAACATTGGAAAAATGAAAACTCACCAGCTGAAGAAGTACTAATTAAGAAAATTCTAGAGTGTGCAGAAGTGGATAGATTGACTTTAAAGTTTAAAGAGAAAGAAGATTCAATGTACTTTAGAACATGGGATAATTTCTATCAATGGCTAGAAAAACGAGTTAGAGAGAAAGGAATGTGATATGTAATTTTGAATATATATTAGCAAGAAGAAGGCTATTGAGTGATTAATTAACATATTGATTATGATAATTAACTATAATAACAATAACAATAATAATAATAAAGTTGGAAGGGACATTGGAGGTCATCTAGTGGTCCAACCCCCTGCTCAGGCAGGAAACCCTATACCATTTCGGACAAATGGCTGTCCAGTCTCTTCTTAAAAACTTCCAGTGTTGGAGCATTCATCGCTTCTGGAGGCAGGTTGTTCCACTGGTTAATTGTTCTAACTGTCAGGAAGTTTCTCCTTAGTTCTAGGTTGCTTCTCTCTTTGATAGGTTTCCACCCGTTGCTTCTTGTCCTGCCTTCAGGCGCTTTGGAAAATAGCTTGACTCCCTCTTCTTTGTGGCAGCCCCTGAGATCTTGGAATACTGCTATCATGTCCCCCCTCGCCTTCTCTTCATTAAACATTATTCATTAAACTATATCTATTATTGTTTGTTAAACACATGAACCCAGACATTATGCTGTTTACTAAATATTGAGAATGTTATTTGGAAAAACCCCAACCCTAACTCCGACCCCACCTTATTCCTAACCCTATAAAAACTATAAAATCTATACAAAAAAATTGACAATAAAGGTTATCTATCTAGTTAATAGCTACAGTGGATGTCAAAATTCATCACCTTCACATACACATATTGCAACATCGATTCCTCACTCTCCACAATACACATTTTGGACAGAAAAAAATAGTAAGTTATTCAACGAAGAGAAGCATCCACATTTTTGGCAGCAACATTTCTCTAATATGGGTTTGCTCTCCTCCATAGTCTCTTCCATATTTTTTCCCACCAAGCATTCTTTTTCACATTTCCCACATCCAGACACACATTTTATTCATACTTTTAAACACTTTTTTATATCCCAGATCATCCCCAGATGAGTCCCTTAGATATAGACCTCTGTCATCTATCATGGCTTTCAAGTAATATTTTTTTAGTGAAATAGAGAAGGTTACTTCTGTCTCTGCCATTCTTGTTATTTAGGTTATTACTTAATCATGCCGTACTTCCCTTTTAGCTCTTTTTTTAAAAAAATGCAAATACAGTGCCGACACAAACTTTGATGAAAGATCAGCCTTCCTTAAATATTTGAGGAGTAGGAATCCAAATAAGTTGGTTTTTAGACATGACATCACTGACTGCCAGACACTATATACTGTAAGGTAAGGTAAGGTAAGAAAAGAATTGCACCTAGTATGTTCTTAACACTGTAGTTCAAACTTTCTCTTCTACACAGAACACTTAGATGGGAAGAATAATAGCAAATTTACTCTTTGCAATGGGGACCTACATGGGTGAAAAACGAGTTTATGAAACTAATTCACTAAATAACTAATGGTATATGTTGTTTTACTTCATGTTGCCAGGAATCATGATTTTGAAAGAATTGAATTAATTCAATATTGACCATAAATATACAAACTATTTTCAATTGATCAATTATTATATTAACAGGTCAGGCAATGGAGCCATCAGAGAAGGACGTGTACCTACACAAAGGATGCTATTTTGTACCAGTGGTGTCCTCACCTGAAAGTATAGATTCACTGGAAAATTTTGAAATCCGAGATGATGATACATTTATAATCACATATCCTAAATCAGGTAAGTTCAAAGATACATTCAATGAAGAGTTAATCTTGTATCCTGTGCTGTTAGTCAGTTCTTCAGTACTTTTGTTGCTGCAACTGTATCATCTGTTGTAAACAGATTTTAAAATTTGGCATTTTATTAGAATTTGACCATTTTTATTTTGCTTTACAGAGCTGATTTTCCCTCATAAACTCATCAAATATTTTAGAGGAAGCAATTGTCTTTATGTGTCTCTGAAATGTTTACTATCCTTCCTGACCTGACAGGAAAGCTGGCTTTGCATAGATTAGAACATAGAATATAGAATGTAGAATAATAAAGTTGGAAGAGACTTTGGTGGTTTTCTAGTCCAACCCCCTGTTTGAGCAGGAGACCCTATACCAGGGGTGTCAAACTCAATTTCATTGAGGGCCGCATCAGCATTGTGGTTGCCCTTGGGAGGCTGGGTGGGTGTGGCCTGGGTAGGTGCGGCCTACTGGGTGGGTGTGGATGGAGTGGGTGTGGCCTACTGGGTAGGCATGGCTAGCTCTACATCATTCGTGTCAAGGGTGTCTGGGGGGCCTGGGCAGGAGTGGGACAGATCTGGGGATGGCAGAAAGGGGTGGGACCAGGGCAAGTGCCAAGGCATGGTCCACTGGAGTAGCCTCACTGTTCCTCTCAGGCCATGCAGGGGGGGCTGGATGGTGGTGAGGGCTGCCCAGAGCCCTGGGCAGCAGAGGTCAAACACCCAGCCTGGCCCGCAGCACCAAGCCCAGCCCCACTTCCCCAAGGGGGCACCCAGCTGCATTTATCTCCTCCTCAAAGTTGCTGCTGCTGTGCTGGCTCTCCTTAGCCAGGTTGCTCATGATGGGTATGAGGGCAAAGTCACAGGGAGGCCCATTCCCTCTCCATGGGAGTAGACCTGGCTTTGTATCCAAGCTTCCTTAACAATAGGATGGGAGACCCCCAGGATAGGCCAGGAGGAGGGGGCAAAGGGATGGTGAAATGACAGCAGGGCAGGACTAAGGCAGGAATTCCCTCAGATCCTCCCTCTCCTTCTTTCCTTCTTTTCTTCCTTTCTTAGTACAGAATGGTGGGAAAATATTTGAGATGAGGGAGGGAGAAAAACGGCAAGAAATGCAGCTGGGGAGGTTTCACTCTTCGTGAGGAATGAAGAAATGCACCATCACCTGGAAGTAGCCAGCACATGGCCCTCACCTACTTCATCTGGCTTGGTGGGCTCTGGGAGAGGGGATGCCATGAGCAGCGTGAGATTCAACATTACCTACGCAAATCAGCCTATAAAGAAAATTCGTATAAGATGATTTATAGATGGCATCTCCCTCCAGCAAGACTAGCCAAAATGTATAAAGGATTCTCAGATTTATGTTGGAAATGTAAAAAAGAAAGGGGCACTTTTTTTCATGTGTGGTGGTCATGTAAGGAAACACAGGGGTATTTGGCGTATGGTTTGGAAATGGGTAACAGAAATGAGCATACAAAATATTCAGTATAAGCCTGAGACATTTTTGTTAGGAATTGTTGAAGAAAATGTTAGTAAAGAGGATATGTATTTATTTATTCATGTGGTTATAGCGGCAAGAATAGTATTCACTCAGAATTGGAAAAATACAGCTGTACCTAGTGAGGAAATTTTAATTTATAAAATTGTGCATTGCGCAGAATTAGATAGGTTAACTAAAAGACTCAAAAATCAGGATGCTATGGATTTCTACCAAATATGGAATAAATTTTATAAATGGTGGGGGAAAAAAATTGGAGGTCACTGTGATAAGTTAAAATTGAGTTTAGAGTGATGTTATTGTATAGAGTTTAATTAATTATGAATAGGAATGAACTGAGATGTTGGTCAAGTCTGATTTACCATGTTCAATGTTTTTAAACTTTTTCTTTTTTTGTTATTTAATAAAATTTAAAAAAAAACATTACCTACCCAATGCCACCCAGCCCCCAGCCTGCCCAGTCTCGGATGCAATGGGGCGCTCTCCTCACAGCACCGAGAGGTTGAGCCGGGTGGTGTAAAGCTCGTTAGCTTTGCACCTTGCTGCCTGCTGAAACTGGGCAGACTGGGGGCTAGGCAGCATTGCACTTCTCATCAGATTCATGCCACCCAGCTCAGCTCTTGGTGCTGTGAGCAGAGTGTCCCACTGCCTGCCGAAATGGGCAGGCTGGGAGCTGGATGGCTTCGTGCTTCTTTTTAGATTCATGCCACCCAGCTCAGCCTCTCAATGCTGTGAGGAGAGTGCCCCGCTGCCTGCTGAAACTGGGCAGGCTGGGGGTGGCATCGCACTTCTTTTTGGATTTGTGCCACCTGGCTCAGCTTCTTGGCGCTGTGAGGAAAGCATCCCACTGCCTGCCAAAACCCTCCCCCGGAGCCCATCAAGCTGGATATTTGCTGGCCATTTCCAAGCGATGGTGCATTTCTTTATTCCTCACAAAGGGTGACACCTCGCCAGCATGCACCCAGGGGGTGGGGCCAATGCAGCAGGGGCTGGTTCCTCACTGTTTCCAGATGACCTTGTAGAGTTAAGACTGAGTGCGTTTCAGCATAGATGGCCAGCATAAAATTGTACATTGGCTCCTGGCTGGCTTGGGTCAGGGCCAAAGCAGAGGGGGCCATTCCCTCACTTTTCCCAGGATGGCTTCACGGGCCACATGAAACCACTTTGTGGGCTACATCTGGCCCCTGGGCCTTGTGTTTGACATGTCTGCCCTATACCATTCCAGACAGCTGGCTGTCCAGTCCGTTCTTGAAAGTCTCCAGTGAAGGCAAACTATTCCATTGGTTGGTTGCTCTCACCTTTAGGAAATTTCCCCTTAGTTCTAGGTTGGTGCTCTCCTTAGTTAGTTTCCATCCATTGTTTCTTTTCTTCCTTTTGGTGCTTTGGAAAATAGTTTGACCCCCTCATCTCTGTAGATGAGGAACAATGCTGTCATGTCACCCTAGTCCTTCTTTCCATTAGACTAGACATACCCAATTCTTATAATGGTTCTTCATATGTTTTAGCCTCTAACCCCTCTCCCCAATCATTTTTGTTGCTCTCTTCTGTACTTTTTCCAGAGTCTCAACATCTTTTTTGTATTGTGATGACCATAATTGGATGTAGTATTCCAAGTTGGTCTTACTAAGGATTTGTAAAGTGGTACTAGAATTTCACATGATCTTGATTCTATCCCTCAATGTAGCCTAGGATTACATTGGTTTTTTTGGGGAGGCTGCCACACACTGTTGGCTCATATTTAAGTGATTGTCCACTAGGACTCCAATATCCCTCTTATAGTTACTGGTATTAAGCCAAGTTTCATCTAGTCTATACTTATACAGTTGGTTTTTGTTGCCTAAGTGTAAAACCTTACTTTTATCTATGTTGAATATCATTTTGTTACATAGGGCCCAGTGTTCAAGTCCCTTAAGATCTTTTTGAATCTTGAACTTGTGTTCTGAGGTGTTGACTATTCCTGCCAGCTTATTGTTCTTTGCAGATTTGATGAATTCTCGTTCAATTCCCTCATCTAGATCATTTATGAAGATATTGAAGAATACTGGGCCTAAAATGGTACTTTGGGGTACCCCAATGGTTACTTCTCTCCATGTGGATGTAGTTCCTTTGAGGACTAAATGTTGAGCATGATTTGTCAGCCAGTTACAAGCCCACCTAGTGGTGGTACTGTCTATCCCACAATTTACTAGCTTGCCAAGTAGGTTGTGGTCTAGTTCAGTGGTGGCGAACCTATGGCACGGGTGCCAGATGTGGCACTCAGAGCCCTCTCTGTGGGCACATGCACCATCACCTCAGTCCTAGGCCTTCAGCTGGGTTTTATAAAACTTTTTCGCTTTAGCCCTCCGCTGCCATGTGAAAAAAAAAGGTTCAATCAGTCAATTTCAACTTCTTGCAGGAAAAAAAAGGTCTTGCAAATTTGGAATTGATTGATTGAACTTTTTAGTCTCACCCAGTCTGCCGTTACCATTGCAGCCACACCACCCAATGGGCCATGCCCACCCAATGGGCCATGCCCACCCAATGGGCCACACCCACCCGGCACTCGACGATGCATAAGTGGATTTTGGGTTGCAGTTTAGGCACTCGGTCTGTAAAAGGTTCGCCATCACTGGTCTAGTTTATCAAATGCTTTACTGAAATCTAATTATACTATGTCCACAACATTTTGTTAATTTATTAATCTGATCACTTTGTCAAAGAATGAAATAAGATTTGTTTGGCATGCTCTGCTTTCGACGAATCCATGTTGGCTTCTGGTTATAACCTTGTTTGCTTCTAGGTATTTACAGATTTGTTGCTTGATTATCTTTTCCAAGATCTTCCCAAATATTGATATCAGGCTGATTGGTCTATAATTTCCTGGATCTGTCTCCCCCCACCCTTTTTGGAAGATGGGGACCACATCAACCCTTTTCCAGTCCTCAGGTATTTTGTCGGTGATCCAAGAACTTTGAAAGTTATGTTCAATGGTTCTGAAATCACGTATGCCAGTTTCTTCAGAAATCTGGGATATAGTCTGTCAGACCTGGTGATTTGAATCCATCTAGAGCTGACAGGTGTTCTTTATTTTTGCATAATTTAATTTTCATTCCTAACATGTCATTTATGGTTCTCTTTTCGGTTAAGTTGAGTAGTGTTTTATTTTTGCACGAAGACAGATGCGAGGTATGACTTAACCAGTTCTGCTTTCTCTCTGCTGCCCATTACTTCTTTGCCATCTTCTCCCATTAGTGGACCGATTGTTTCTTTGACTTTTTTCTTGTTTTTTATGTGTTGAACATTCTCCAAATAATAATGGCTCTGGATGAATTAATTTAATTATTTCTTATTTACAGGCACAGTGTGGACTCAGAACATTGTGAGTTTGATTCTTTATGAAGGTCATCGAGATGGAACTGAAAATATTACCCTGATTGACCGAGCACCATGGCTAGAGTATAATATTTTCCATGTAGATTTACCCAGTCGCCCATCACCTCGTGTCATTTCTTCCCATCTGCCGTACTATTTGGTACCCAAAGGATTACGAAATAAAAGAGCAAAAGTAGGACATATTTTAGAAACTAGCGGGGTGGAGTGGGGAGGTATCTCTCTTTTATTTATTTTTAGCTCTGAATGATTTATTGACAAAGAGACAAGTGCAAGTGAACAGATGTTACATTGTTTCAATGTGTTTAATGATATCCAAGGTGAGAAAAAAATACCTCAAATAACACAGGGAACCCAGAATCTCATGCTTGGCAGAAATAGGCTAAGAACTAAACTGAAGATCCATATGTAGAGATATTTAATCCTTTAATCTTAATTTTTCCAAAATGACACTTCCAGATGGATTGGCGCTTTTTGTGTTGTATAATCAGTTTTTATCTTAACATATCTGGAGGATGCCAAGTTGAGGAATGCTACCTTTAGCCATCAAATCCCTTTTACAATTGCTACTCTGTCACTCATGCCCTCCTGGATGGATGACTGTAATAGCTTTAAAGTGGAGTTGTTTTTTAACAACAGCCCTTGAAGTATTCAAAAGCTTCAGTTGGTGCAAAGGCAGCAAGGTAGGCATTTGTGTGTTCTCCAAGAACTGCATATATTATACCTTTGCTTTGGAAGCTCTCTTGCAGCGCTTCTCAACCTGTGGGTCACGACCCCTGTGGGGGTTGAACGACCCTTTCACAGGGGTCGCCTAAGACCATCAGAAAACACATATTTCCGATGGTCTTAGGAACCGAGACACTGCCAAAGCTGCCACCGCCGCCACCTCAGGAACGCGCAGTGGACGAGCCAAGGAAAGGAAATGAATGAGGAGGGAGGCGTGCCTGCTTGCGTGTTTGTGTGTGCGTTTGCGTAGAGTCGCTATTTTCAACTCCCAATATTACAAAGAAAAAAAAAGATTGACGTGAATAAAATGTGGTGGAAGACAAATGCTGTGTGTGTGTGTGTGTGTGTGCGTGCGTGCATGGTGTTAATCATATTCTTTCCCTTATCATGCGCCTTGAGCCACGACACCAATAACCGTCTGCTCTCAGTTTCCTGCTTCTAGCGAAATGTTGAAAACTGTAAGACACCGAGAGGCACGCATCCCGCTGGCAAGGCTCAGGGGAAGCGCCAGGATCAGCACCCCTTTCTTCCTGATCGGTGCTTCTCCTAGACCAGGAGAGCTCACGGGAAGCACCAGGATCAGCCCCCCTTTCTGCCTGATCTGTGCTTCTCCGAGGCTGGAAGAGCTTGGCCCCTTTCTGCCTGATCGGCACTTCTCCAAGGCCGGGAGAGCTCAGGAGAAGCGCCAGGATCAGCCCCCCTTTCCGCCTGATTGGCGCTTCTCTGAGGCCAGGAGAGCTCAGGGGAAGTGCCAGGATCAGCGCCCCTTTCTGCCTGAATGGTGCTTCTCTGAGGCCGGAAGAGCTCGGCCCCTTTCCGCCTGATCGGTGCTTCTCCGAGGCTGGGAGAGCTTGGCCCCTTTCCACCTAAGGTCCACCAAGCCTCAAGAAAGACTTTTCAATTCATCCCACTGTTTTCCTGCTATTTCCACTCTAACTGGAGTCTCTGAGGATCATTTTTGACTAGCTATTTTCTTCTTCCGACAGATTATTTATGTGTTTAGAAATCCAAAGGATGTCTTGGTTTCTAGCTATCATTTTTACAAAATTCTAACCATGCTGGAATTACCAGAAGAGTTTGATGTTTACTTGAAGAAGTTTTTGGCTGGCAAAGGTAAGAATGTAATCACAATCAGGTTAGTTTTTGTTTTGGACAAGAGATATGAATTCAGTCCACTTCCTGCAAGCAGCAAACAATCCGCCCTCCTCCTTAAAATAAGATCAGAATAATTATTTCCAATGCTCATGCAGTAATTTATATAAACTCTATGCAAACAGTTTATAATGGAATGGATGGTGGAGAAGAATAACTCGTGATTCAAAAGTGGGTGGGAGAATGAGAAGAAATACTAGGATCCATTTAATATAGAGAAAAATAGAGAGAAGTGAATTGTTGGGTTTAAAATCAGTATATTATTATTGTTATTGTTATTTTTGTTGTTGTTATTACTATTGTTGTTGTTACATTAGTCAGGAGACTGCAATGCTATTGTAGAGTAATGGTTTAGCTGCCAATTTACCAGCTCTGTTGTGGGAAATGTTCGCATAATTCCCAAGATGCACCACAGGAAGGTGAGCTGGCTTTACCCCAGAAAGAAAGATGAGCAGGTCTTCTTGCAGCATCATTCAAGGGCCCCTTCCCTTCACCAGAGCCGCCTTGCAAATGGGCATCACACCCGAGAAGGTTCAGAGCCAAGAAGAATCTGACTACCTGCATAGAGCACCAACTCATCTCCCCAGCAAAGTGGTACCTATTTATCTAGGTATCATAGAGCATGCTTTCAAACTGCTAGGTGGGCAGAAGCTGAGGCAAGTGATGGGGTCTCACCCTACCACATAATGCTAGGACTTGAACTGCTGGAGCAGAGACCATCTCCAATATCATTGAGCCACTGAGCCACTGCACCTCATTAATCAGAATGTGATTATGTTGGGAATAATGGACAGAATCTAAAATTAATAAAAATCCATATTCATTTGAAAAACTAGAGAGTTATCCTTATTTTTTTTAAAAAAATAAGAAAACTAAAAAAATAAACACTCTCTAACATGAAATTACATGGGGAACATTTAAGAGTTGCCCCAAAGGTCCAAATAAGGACCTAAGCAAAACAAATGAAATAATATAGCAGCATTTTGACAAAACTTAATAAGTGAGAATATGCAACCACTCCTCTCTCCTCTCCACATTCAATGTTATTAGGGTGGCCCCTCAGTTGAGCTTTGATCTGTAGGCCCGTCAGGTCATAGGGATAAATGGAAGAAATTCAAGCATTAAGAATGTATTCCTAAGGGGATTGTTAACTGGAACATTGCAGTACCCAGTTAAACAATTGAACCAAATGGACTTTGAGGTCTGCGCTCATATTTATGCCAAATTCATTTCTTTCCTATCAGTGCCTAGTAGTTTGTGGCTAGACCATATAGAAAGCTGGTATGCTCATAAGGATGATTTCAATATTATCTTCCTTTCGTATGAAGACATGAAAAAGGTAAGATGTGTCCATTTTGTGTAGTGCAATATGAACAACCATCAAGCACAGCAAGGTTTAGAAATGATGGGATGTATAGAATAGCTTATACCAACAAGGAGTACTAGAGGTGACCACAGAACCACCTTGGTTATTTCTGTGAACTCCTGGAGGACTAGTGAGGTCTCTGAAGAAACATAAGATTCCCCTCTTCAAAAGGAAAAAGATTAATAAAACACATGTTTGTGAGCACTTGGCAAGATGAGCAGGATATGAATTTTATCAATAAAACAAAGTAAAATAAAATAAATAATGTTCTCCTCTTTTGGCTCAAAGAAGGTTGACTCAACTCAAATGCATTTTCAAGAGAGACCAAGGCATTTATTTAGCTTGGTTGAGAACTGACCAGCCTCAAATGCAGCCAGGATTGCTAAGAATGTAAGAGTCTGAATCATAAATATATTGAGAACCAAAAATGTTTCTCAACAACTTGTCTCTTGGAATCCCTTAGCAGCAGTTCTAAGGAAGGATTTCAACGTTTAATGAATATTGTTCGTTTTTTCTAAAAAAATAAAATACAAATATAAATGATTTAATATTGAAGTAATTGTTTTCAGTAAGAAAAGAAAGAATTGAAGGTAGAAGTGAGAGACAGCATTGATATGCAAGATATGTATAAGATAGTGATAATCTTTAGAATTCCCCAAATATATCAACAACATTTTCCAACCTTTTCTCCATTTTTATGGAAGATCTAATATAAAGCTGTATCAAATTGCAGGATCTGAGAAGCTCTGTACTGAAAATATGCAACTTCCTAGGAAAAGAACTGAGTGAAAAGGAGGTGGATGACGTGGTGGGTAAAGCTACATTTAATAACATGAAAGCGGATTCTAGAACAAACTACACATACATGATTCCTGAACTTACAGATGATAGCAGAGGAGTCTTTCTTCGTAAAGGTAAATCCATGGAGATTTATAGTCTATGCTTATGGAATATGCTAGGATTGCCACCTTCATCTAAAAGGCACTTTTTGTAGAATGGTATGTACATTTTCTAACAACTTCTCTTTCTGCTTTCTCTTCATGATGTTGCACTAGTCTCATCAATGGCCTGCATCTGAGGCAGCCATAAGACTTTCTTAGCTGTACCAATGTTAAATTGGTGTTGTCTTTTTCATCCTGACATATTTTTTGCCATGGTTATAATCTGACTGTTACAATGACCAGTCTGTTGCTTGCACAGTCTAATGATCCTTTAGGAATGTGATTGTTTTACCTTATACTGACCACTTTAGGCTGGTGGAGACACATCTTCTTCACTCTCTACCTTGGACACTGCCCTCCAGTCTTAGAACTGCATCCTTTAAGCCTGCAGGGACATAGACAATGCTAAAAAAAAAAAAGCATCAATCACTTCACTTAATCAGGGGGCCAGTTCCAACGGGGTGAATTCAAGATCATTTAGAACTTCACTGGTAGGCCATTGGTTCTATGACTTCCCAGTACGAGATACTTATGCCAGAGAAATCACCTGATAGCTTCTAGTTAGAAAGATCTTTGCCCTTCTATAAAATCTTCACTCTGTAGTCCAACTCTAGTTAAAATAGTAAGGAACCAGCTTCCTGCCCAAAAATTAGAGATACAGATTTGTATATATTGTTTGATGGACTGGAAGGTAGCGAAACATTCCTCTAATAATGGAGGAATGTGCAATGTTCCAAATTAGTCAGGTTTTGCAAACTATTATCCTCTTTCTAAGACTTCAAGAAGCCCATAGCAGGCATGGTAATTGGAGACTAGAAACCACATCTGGAAGACTTTTGATCTTCATCACTATAGTCTTCTCCTGAAGCCTGAAGATATAAATATATCTTCAACGTGCACACATACACATACATATATACATTCCTACACATACACGCATGCACGCACACACACACACACACACACACACACACACACACACACAAAGACACATTCATTTTGGTGACAGGATGACATAAATAGCCTCTAGTTTAATTGAATACAAAAACTGTTGACATTTGTATCACTGTTTCCCAGGCATTGTTGGGGACTGGAAGAATACCATGACTGTTGCCCAGAGTGAAACGTTTGACCGTGTCTTTAAGGAGAGGATGGAAAAACTGCCCTTCGAATTCTGCTGGGATATTCAGGAGGATCCTAAGCCTATTTCCAGCTCAGTGGAAGAAAATAATGTGTGATGCACAGCTTCAAGTGGCTTGAATCAGAGATGACCTTCCAAGAATGATCTTTATGTAATCTTTAATGTTTAATTCTCAGATTTGCAGAGATCATAGAACAGAGCTAAATTAAATTATGTGTGCTATTATTAAATATAATAGAAACTGCAGAAAATAGTTATAGTACGTCTCTCCCAAATTCTTACTATCATTTTTATTTTGATTCCACAAATGAAACCAGATGCACTAAAGCTTTGACATTTTATGTCCAGCTAGTTCCTATATATACTTTTTTGTTTTTTACAATATGCTAAATCACAGCGTGAGATTTTCTTATATGGTTAAGGTCTTTTCTCTATTGCCTTTAGTTAGTAGTGGAACTATACTGGTGTAAAATTTGCTGTCCTTATTGCTGATGCCTATCTGTATCTATTGCCTCCCATTTAGCCTGTCTCTGATTAGTGATGTCCTTATTTCTAAAGTGCTTAAGCAAAATTACTGATCAAACTCTCTGGTTTTGCCGACATTCTCCTTTCAGAACATCACCAGCAAGTCAAGACAGCGATGTAAGATGGACCTTGGGGAGGTGGTGAATGTACAGGTTAACCCTAAATCTTTCATTGTCTGCCATGAACAACAATGTGAGATTGAATATTTGCATGAACATGCCTGCTTTGCTGAACAGCTGATGGGGGTTTGCATATCTAATGAGTGTGGCATCTATGCTTTCCTGATTTACTACACAGAGAAATCTTTTTGCCAACTCCTCAGGTTTTTTTTTTAATCAGGCATCTTTGGAGCAGAATCTGGCATTCTTTCAAAACTCCACCCACCCACACTTTTATCTTTCAAAACCCCTCATTTAAGGAAGCACAGCACTACAGTAGTTGAAACAAGCTTTCAACCCATTACTTCTTGTCCTACTCTCTGAAGATAAGTCAGACTCCTCTTCTCTGTGACAGCCTCTCAAATATTGAAAGATATTTACCATGTCCCTCTTAATTCTTTTATTCGATATGCTAGACAGGCCTAGTTCCCTGAACCATCATACAATTTAGCTTCCATACCCTTTATCATGTCGGCATACCTTAGGATCTCAGCATCTTTTTTGTACTGTGATGATGCATGCAGTATTTCAAGTGTGGCCTCACAACTACAATATAAAGTAGTTTTATCACTTCGCATAAACTTGATGCTAGCCCTTCTTACATCTTATACTATAACTTAGCAAATCATGTCAGAACCATTCATGTCCATCCATTCTGGAATTCTTCTGGAGAAGAATTATCCATTGGCCACACAAGTCACCCAAATTAATATTTATATAAGCACACTGATTTGTTTATATAAATGATCTTCCTGGACCTCTGATTATGAAGATGGAGGTCCACTTTGATTGCTGAAACTTTGCAAGGATTAAGTCTAATGCAAAATGTTAGATTTGATGTTTCTTTCCACAGATAGGTGGTTACTTCTACCTCCCCCATCAACTACACTATATAGTTAACCTTTTTACATTCTTGATTCTGGGTACTTCGATCTTAATGTATTTGGCTAGGTCAGGTGTGTTGTGTAGTAGCAGTAATTTATTAACTGATTAGTCTCAACAGCAATATCATATAAAAATAAAATAAAGGTAAATGCATGATCTAATTACAAAATAGATATATGTATGTAAAAGAAAATACAATAATAAAATACATAAGTAGTAAACAGTGCTTTTTTTGTAAAAAAAAAAGGGGGGGCGGAACTCACACACGTCATACAACCCACCTTGCCTACCCTACAAGGTTCCATCCAAAAAAGGTGCCAGAACTCCGTTCGGGCGTTCTATGACAAAAAAAGCCCTGGTGGTAAATACAAAGAATCAGCATTCTGATAATTACATTGCCCTGTTCCGTTTGATAAAACGTGTTCTAAGTTGAACTGCCTGGTCTATAAACCAGTTCTGTTTACACTATGTACATTAGAGCCCAGGAGGAAGTCACAGAACAAGAGATCAGCAACAATACACACAAAACTCCAAGGAATCAGCATTTGTTCCCAACAAATGCCTCTCCCCACAGCATCTTCTTAAATCTCAGTCTCCAGGTGTGCCTGTGGAGAGAGGCGGGATACTCTCCTCCTGAGCCTGTGCGTTGTTCCCTCCTTCTCTCCACTCTCCATGCTCTAGGATCAGGTGGGGGTGGTCCTTGCTCATCGCCTGAACTCTGCCTCTCCTGTTCCTCCTGTTCCAATCCTGAAGGGCCCTGGCCTGTCTCGGCCTGCTCTTCCCCACATTCCTCTGAAGCCACTGACACCCTCCATCGACTTCAATAGGTCCCTTCCAGCTCATTTTCCTCCACACATTCAGGCTTGGATGAGAAAGAAGCTCCCAACTGGGGGGTCCCGTGGGCAACAATGATGTCACTGCCTAATCCTTTCAACCCAGAAGTCTCTTGGTGCTTCCAACATGAGGCAATGTGATGCAATAATGAAGTCTGAAAAATAATATATTGTCCTCACCGCCAAACTTCCAATAACATCAGGAAGATCAATTTTCTATATTTTATCTTATAAGAGACAAATAATTCCTATCAAATGTAAGAAGGACAGATTTATGCCATATTGTCAATGTTAGAAAACATAGGACCATACAGAATACAGAATAATAGGGTTGGAAGGGACCTTGGAGGTCTTCTAGTCCAACCCCCCACTTGAGCAAGAGTCCCTACACCATTCTGGACAAATCTCTGTCTAATCTCTTCTTAGAAATCTCTAAAAACTAACTACAAAACAAGTTTGCAGTTAGAAGGAATTCCTGGAATAAATGGGGGCTACATTTTGTAACAACAAGAGAATGCAAGTTCAGTTTAAATGTTTGTTCAAATCCTGATCAGTTCAAGGTTTGATGAGCAGTTTCTACCAGGGTTCAAAATCTGCAGGGTCAGAGTCCTAAGGAATGGGCTCCCTATTTCCACTTCAATTGTTATTATATTTATTATTGGGAGGAGGGTTGTAAATAACAATATTCCAATCTCAGTCCAATAAACTATGGCTTCTTTTCCATCATTTTGAGGTAAATAAAAATCTAATGTCATAACCCCTTCCCAGTTTCCTTACCAGAAGGAGAAATCTAATCAGTTCTGTGTTCATGTGATCCAGTGGGGACTTCTTTTGCAATGGCAGGATGATCGTGCTGACATTTTTCCTCCCTTGCCTATTTGTGGATATTGTTCATCAATGTGATGAACAATATCCACAAATGTGTAGGAATCAGTGCTCAGTCATTGCAGGGTGCAAATATGGCTGACCACCTTCGCAGCGTTTATTCTTTTATACAGTTTTCCAAGCAGCAAAAGTTTAACATGGCAATAGCGTAGCAACAGCATTTCATTGGTTAAACTCCTTACCAATCCTTAAGAAGATATCAGCCAGGAGACCCAGCCAGGGAGCAGTTTCTAACCACATCCTATTGATGTAACCTGGCTGATATCATGTGAACCAGGTGATATCATTGTATCAGCCTGGGGTAGTTTCCCATATTGCCATGGTGATGTGAATGGATGAGATCATGTAGAGAGAAGAGGCACACAGGCATTGGAAGGGCAGTTTGCTGCTCACGACCTCTACCTGGCCCCTATCTCTACATCTCACTCTTTTTTATTTTGTTAGACGAAATATTGTTATAAAAGGGGTTAATAAAAGGATTATAATCAGGAGAGGAGCATCCATGCAGTTGTTTATACAGGGCATAAACCTGACCCTGAGGCAATGTGGGAGAGAATTTGGGGCTAAAAGCTCTGATACATATATTGCAAAAGGAAGGAATACATTGCACAAAACAGCACCCACCAAGATCCTAAAGTATCAATTTTCAAATCAGAGGCCAAATTGTGTAAAATATTAATCTGGTGCTGGATGGTTCATGAATTATCAGAAATATTGAAATAACACATCCCCTCAAAACTTTCACAACCCAAATGCTGACACAGAAACAAATAATCGATAGCAGCGTGATTTTGCAAAATAGCTTTTCTCAAATCTTGCAGCTCATGGTTGATTGCTGACATAGCTGAAAAGGTAGCATTAATTGTTTGTGCTAAATTACATGCAATAGCATTAATGTTGAGGTGAGCATGAACAGCAAGTCCTGGTACACCCACTAGAGACATAGCCAGTGCTACATATTCTGCTTTATTAAGTAAGGCTGTCTCAGAGTCACAAGTGCTGTCTAGCGTGACCCCATGTCGAGAACGGTTCAAGTGAACTTGTTTGGAAAGCAAAACAGGAATCAGCTGGCTGAGGCAACACTGCGCTTCACTAATATTAGCAGGAATATAATTAAAGGTTTCTTGACCACGTGTAAAAAACCATCTCTGCGGTAGCCAAACATGTCCAAAATGAAAGGAAGTCTCTTCAAAAGCTGTGCAGTTTAAAACATGTGAGGTAATGCGATGACAGTGAGGTTTTTTACTTGAAGAAGTACAATTAACTATTTTAGCACATGTTATATTTGCAGGGATTGCTGCCACTGTGGTGTGCAAAGCAATAGCGTCAGGGGGTGGATAATAAGCAGTAACCCCCCAGCTAGATATAGCCTTATAGTTAAAGTTCCCATTGAATAAAATTGTGCTATAGCCAGTGAAGTTTTGAATTACTGCAGAAGGGGTTCAAACAAGGACTAAACATGTAGAAAGCAAATTTTCCATGTCATATGCTTCAGATAAACAAAAGACATCATTTTATGTGATGTTAGCTAGCTGCACCCATAGATTTTGCTTCATTCGTTATTCAAATGATTGTTTGGGTGGGATGACAGTTGCTGTTGTCAAAGGGCAGATGTTAACGATCAGACACAAACAAATGATGGCTAAGGAATTTGCAGTTAAAACCGCAAAAATGGCAGCGCACAGGTTCTTGGGGGTTTGCTCTAGTTGTTGCTGCTGCAGCACTGCCTGTTCTTTGGCAGTCAAGTTCTTTACATTTCCCCACGTCACACTGGCCAACTGGCATGCCGGGATCAGATTGGTTGCTGTGCCATCTGTAGAGTCACCCTTGCCATTTCTGGGACTGGGTCCAAGGACTGGTGCCACAACATCCCTGGCTGGGTGAACGTAATGTGCTGGAATCCACAAAGGTCCTGTAGGAGTAAGCACAGCAGCATAGCCTCACCCCCAAGTGATCAGAGGGACTGGTCCCAACCATGCTTTGTCTGGTAATGCCCAATAATATACCAGAGGCAGAGGCAAGCTTGTTTTCTGTTGAAAGTGTCTCTGATAAGTGGTGGAATTTTGAATGGAAACATTCAATTGGTTTAATGTAGATAATACTTTTTTAACCTGTTGTGTTACCCATGACAAATTGGGTACCCCAGATCCGTCCTTTTTTATTTGTTTGTGAAAGCAGTTCTTAAAGAACCAATTAACATGTTCCATGATGGCATGGAAGTATAGGGAAGACCATGAGTAAGAACAATATTTCAGGTTGTACAAAATTGCAAAAAAACCACTGAAGAATAGGTGGCCCATTATCAGTTTTTAAGGAAGAGGGCTTACCCAGGGCTGTAATGGCAGAGAAAAGATGAAAAATAACATGTGCAGCTGTTTCCCCTTGTTGAAGTGTGGCCCAAATTGCTCCTGAATAGGTATCAATAGATAAATGAATATATTTCCAGGGAGCCAAAAAGGGAACATGGGTAACATCCATTTGCCATAGTTGATTAGAGACAAAACCACAGGGATTAGGAAGACATAAAAAAAGGGTTAGGCCCAGGAAGGGAGGAGTGACTGCGTATATGAGAAATAAAATATAAATGCTTTCAGTCTTGTAGCAGCTGCTGTAAAGTTAAAAACAAAGCCATAAAATTGGGGTCGATCCTGGGCATGATATAAGCACCTGAAAGATTAAAAATAAGTTGGCACACATAACGAGAGTCAGAGATTAAGTTAAAAAGGCTGTTGAGAAAAGGTGTGAAAAGCCAAAATAGCAGCAGATAATTCTGAGCGTTGTGGTGAGGACTGTATTGCAGTGTAGGACACTTTCCAGGTATCATCATGAGGATCTTGTAAGCAATTGTTCCTCTCGTTTGCCCTCCATCAGAAAAAAACAGTAGGAGCTTGTGGCAAGGGAGAAGGAGAAAGCAGTGGGCGGACAGGAAAGGAAAAAGTCATTAAATAAGCAAGTCAAGGATCTTTAGGAAAATGATATGAAATAGAGCCTATACAGTCAGTTAAAGCTCACTGAAGAGATAAGTTATTCTGAAAATAAAATTGAAAATCAGATTCTGAGATAGGAAGAACAATATTAATTAAATCAGTTCCATTTCGACAGCAAGCTCGTGTGCGTCCTAAGGTTATTATTTCAGCAACCACCTGGATAAAAAATAAAACATTTTGGGATGGGGTGTGGGGTAAGTAAATATCAAAAGTGTTAACTGACAATTTTTATATGGAATTCTGTCCGCAAACTGAGTACTCAAGATGTCATTAATTTGTTCAACCGCAGCAAGTGCTACAGGTGGAACTACAATGAGATTACCAGGTTGTTTTCCTTTGGTCAATAAATTAAATAATGGACTGAGAAAATTTGTATTTCTGAAAGCCAATTAGATTGTATCTTTGGTGCTCCAGTTAAAATATCATCCATATAATGATATACCAAAGCCAATGGAAGAGAGAGAGAGATGATACTCTCTGTGCTGATTCACCATTCAGCCCCTCTGCTGCTGGTCA